GACTGGTGAGGTCGAGGGCGGCTGCTTCTTGCCGGGGCGCAATCGACGCAGCAGAAGCCGTGGTGGCGAGCAGGGCCACGCCCAATGCCTTGAAGGTGCCGAGGAGTCTCATGGCGTCGATGTTGGTGAGGATGCTACGCTTGGGAGGGAGGCGGTACCGACATGCTGGGACCTGACTCCCGTCGAGAGTCGATCAGCTTGGTTAAATACTTGCACACGACCACCTGACGATGTCATGTTTTCCCTCGGTCGGTGCATTGAAGGCCGAATGACGGTCAATTCCCAAAGCTTCAGTAATTTCCGCGGCCCCCTCGCTAGCCTGAATCCCCCATGGGGTAAGGTTAGCTACGTTGCAGCGTTCATTCGCCAAACGTTCGAGGTAGAATCGCCCAGAATTACCTCGTCCAGGATCAACGGCTGTTACCCCGCGATTCAGGCTTCGAGGTTTTCCCTCATCGGGCAGGTAGACGTTCAAGCCTCGGTGGGGGACAGCGGTTGTCTTCTCGAGTGAGGCAACTTCTCCCGGGGGCAGTACCGAACACCAAGAAAACATGGTGGAGCTCTCGGGAAGCATGTGGCGGTGGCTCTCTTGTGCCCAGCCGCTGTCACTCGAGCCCCGTGTGTTACTCCATGATTTCTCCGTGGAGTCCCAGGAGTCGGGTCTGTTCTGCCTGTCTCGAGGCACACAAAAGGATCGCCAGCCATGTGGTGGCCCTGTCTGTCTCTATACCCTGACCGCCGGGAGTGACCCAATACGTTGCATGACATTGGCAATAGGGTCGAGGGAGTCTGGCGGACACTGAGTCGAGGAGGCTGACAGACGCCGGTACCAAAGGAGCTGGAAGAAGTTCGCAGATCTTGGATGGCATTCAGTCTCAGAACTCATCGACTTGCAAAGTGAAGCAAATGAACGATTGATTCGAGTCAATCAATATGTGCGGACTAGGCCTTGCTGTCGCATTTTCAATCCCAAAAATGGAAAGAGAAGGCATCGATCTGAAGCAGGTATACGACAAGCTCAAGAACAGCAAACTGGGCGAGAAGAAGGCTGGCGAATCATGGACCCCGGGACGACTTGGAAAAGAAGGACCAATATTGTTAGAGCTGCTGCAGCTGCGACCAGATGACAGCAGCTGACGGCGTCTTTAGTCAAAGTCAGTCCGAGCGAGCATTTCAACACGACCGCCGCCAGTGGGTCAAGCAGCGATTGCGTGATCAGTGTGAAGAAAAGGGAGTGGAACCCTGCGCGTCACGTGTAGATCCACTCAAGCTTTTCACCCCTGGCCCGTCTGGTCTGGCCTCAGGTCCCCAACAAGTGAGGACTGAGGCAGTGAGGCCGGCAACCAGAGCGCGCGTTAGCCCAGTCTAGCCGCGCTCAGCCCGCCGGAATGTCACCATTTACCTCGGGTTACAGCTCACACAAGACGGTAGAAACACCAGCAACGAGCCGTTCCCAGGTCCCTTTAGCTGCAGAGGCCCCTCGTCCGCAGGGACCATCCCCCTTCTTCCCCCCCCTTTGTTCTCATCACCGTTGCAACACATGCCGTCACTATCGTCTCGAGGTCTCTGGAAGCTGCAGAGCGCGCCCAAGCCATACCCGTTGAAGGTCTCTCAAAGGAGTCTGGCATCTGTAACTGCAAGACAACTACCATCTCCGATCCAGGCCCCGAGTCGGGCCAATCAGTCGAGAACCCTGGTAGCCAACACCAAGCTAATGGGGCTTCCTGCCTCCGGTGCGGGTGCACGCCCGAGTGGTGGTGGTGGTGGCAGTGGTTCTGTTGTTGCCAGAGCTGGCTTTTCCACGTCTGCCACGGCGGCGGCAGCACGCTCAGGCGCAGGCCCTGCCTCCGGTGCTGGCATTGGCATTGGCATTGGCGCTGGCCCCGCCCCGGTTTCTGCCCCTCCCCCTCCTTCCACAGCTCTTGCATCATCCGCCACGGCCAGGACCACTTCGCAGGCGCTTTCCGCTCGAGCGAATAATTCTCAAATTTCCTCTTCTCCCTTCTCCTCCTCCTCCCAACGCACTGCGCAGATTGCTCGTCACCTCTCGACGGCATCTTCCCCCTCGCATCCCACATCATACCTATCGCCAGCGTCCCCAACCGCTGACATGGCCTCTACCTACACCCTCCGCAAGATTGGTGCTCCCCACACCCTGGAGCACCGCGTCTACATCGAGCAGGATGGCGTCCCTGTCTCCCCTTTCCACGACATTCCCCTGTACGCCAACAAGGAGCAGACGGTCCTGAACATGATCGTTGAGATCCCTCGCTGGACCAACGCCAAGCAGGAGGTGTGTTCTGCCCTGCCTCGCGCCGTTGCGCCCCGTGTTTTGCGTGGTTGATGGGTTTTGCGAATTGCCCTCATTCCACCCTGCACAACCCCTCCCCCACTCCAGAAACCCATTGGCTGACTCTGCCCCGCGTCCAGATCTCCAAGGATGAGCTCCTCAACCCCATCAAGCAGGACATCAAGAAGGGCAAGCTTCGCTTCGTCCGCAACTGCTTCCCCCACAAGGGCTACCTCTGGAACTACGGTGCCTTCCCCCAGGTATGCGGCCCGCCTCGACAGAGTCACCCCTCCCTCGATCAATGAGCTGATGCGTTTACACAGACCTGGGAGGACCCCAACGTCATCCACCCCGAGACCAAGGCCAAGGGTGACAACGACCCTCTTGACGTCTGCGAGATCGGCGAGCTTGTCGGTTACACCGGCCAGGTGAAGCAGGTCAAGGTCCTCGGTGTTATGGCCCTCCTCGACGAGGAGGAGACCGACTGGAAGGTCATTGTCATTGACGTCAACGACCCCCTGGCCCCCAAGCTCAACGATGTTGAGGACGTCGAGCGCCACCTGCCCGGTCTTCTGCGCGCCACGAATGAGTGGTTCCGCATCTACAAGATCCCCGACGGCAAGCCCGAGAACCAGTTCGCCTTCACCGGCGAGTGCAAGAACAAGAAGTACGCCATGGATGTCGTCCGTGAGGCCGCCGAGGCCTGGGACCGTCTCATTACCGGCAAGACTCAGCCCGGTGGCATCTCGACGTAAGTTTTTGTCCGCCAAAGCCCGCATTGACGCATGAGACTGACCACCTGCAGCACCAACCTGACTGTTGCTGAGTCCCAGAGCCGCGTCACTCCTGACCAGCTCCCCCCTCTGCCCGCTCACCAGGAGCTTCCCGCCGAGAAGATCGACGCCTCTATCGACAAGTGGTTCTTCATCAGCGGTGCTGCCAGCTAGATGCCTCGCAATGCTACTCGGAGTGC